CTGAATAACTCTTCTTGAACAGATCTCAATCCCTTTATTAGCATTCTGCAGCATCTTCATCAACACAACAACATCCATTTGATTCTTGAGAGACATCCTCAGAGCACAGATAATCTGATCTTCATGTGTAGAGAGAATCTAGCTTCCATCAGGCTTCATCTTCTGAATTTTTCTGCTTGAAACAAATACAGATCCAATCTAGATACAGTTATCATCAAACTTAGATGCATCAAAAGACACAGTCTGACTGACAATTTTGCTCTTACAATACTGAGCTAACATGTAAGGAGTTAGATTATCAGAGTTGACATAACATCTGCTCTTGAAAAAGAATGTTTACTGACTTATTCAAATTGAATAACCCCAGAAACTTAAATCCTTTTTACATTTGACAGAATGACTACTGTCATTGTATCTTTCCTCATATCTTTATTTCTCAAAACATTCATTGTGAATTTCTGAAAAATAATGTCTGATAGCATCTGACCAATTTCAGTTTGTTCAACATCTCGAGTTAATAGAACTTAATTGTCCATGCTACTTCTAATGAGATCTTCTGAATTCATCATATCATCATAATCCAGATGAGTTAGAAACACTGCCTTTCTAGAAACCTCTGCAGAATTCTTTGAAGCTCTTCAAGGAGAGAAACTTTCAAATGTTTTGGATCTGAAGAATCATTTCTTCCAGATTTGAATATTTTTCTAAACTTACCCTTTTCTGCAGACTTCATTCTGGCGTTCTGATGAATAGGATTCATTAGCCAACAATATATCTTTTCTTACTTAAGATAAATCCCAATGAGTTGTCATGAGAAAGTCAAGTGTGGACTAATCCGTTTCTTGAAAACATCTCATACTCACCAGAATTAATCTTTAGAGATCAAGAATTATTGCTTGCAGAAGATTTATCTTTGAGCAAATATGTTGTAAATCCAAACGTATTTTCAGATCAACATTCAACAGATATATCTTCTTATCTGATGAATCTATCCTGTCAGCTGATTCTTCATTCTTCTTTCAGAATCTTCTGGAGGAGATTTGCTGTTGAAGGCTTCAACACTTCAAATTTCAAACTTCATAGAATCAGTGACTTGCTAAAGGTAACTCAATAGATTACAATTTTAGTACTCATTATCCTCAAAAACTGATATGAGACTGAAATTGTAAGAACGGTGAAATATCCCCAAAAGTATTTCTTCACACAGCCTATGGATCTTTATCTGACACTGTTAGGTGTTTGATATCCATCAATAACAGAACCGGAGCTCTGATACCAATTGAAGGTGTGAAAAATACACAAGAAAGGGGGGGTTTGAATTGGGTATTTGGTTACTTAAAAACTTTTGCCATCTTCTTCTGTGTTGTTTCTAGATGTAGCAATGCGGAAGCATAAATAATAAACTAAACAAGTAAAGAACACAAGATATATCCTGGTTCACTTGAGCAACTCTCAAGCTAATCCAGTCCACCCTTCCAAGGTGATTTCGCCTTACTCACTGCAAGGACTTAATCCACTATAACCAAGCAGATTACAGATGCACAAGCTAACTGCAAGTGACTAACAACTTGACAATGACACGTTCAGGGATCCCTAAGGATATAACGTTCATTGACACCTTAATAGAATCCGATCACTAAAGATCTCCTATTAGGATTTCCACAAATAACTACTGTCACTTGTCATCTCAAGTATACTGATCTTCACAAGATCACTTGAGGAACCACTAATTCTAAAATAGAATTTGTGTTGCCGGAGATTACATAAGTGCTTCTCAAATAAGCAGATTACTCCTAATTAAGTTCCTAGCAAGTAATGAGCAACAACTCCTTGCTTTCTAATATAAAAACTAATTCTAATAATAACTCTCTAAGAGATTATTAAAACATAGCTTTTATATTACTTAAGAGCTTTTCTTCATGACAGCAGCAACGCAAGTAGCAAATATGAGCAACAGCTCCAGCCACTTAGTAACCACTTCAGCTCACCAACCACCATTTCAATAATCAAATGATTCTGCCTTTATAGTGCTTCCAAGAATGACGTTGAGAGGATAAGGATGTTCGTTTAAATTCCAACGGTCATATTCCAACGGATAGATAAGCACATGTTGGATGACATCACTTTCTTGTCCTTTTCTTGCAACGGTAATATTCCATTTAACAGCTTGGACAAATTTGCTTCTGGCTTGGTTCTTCTGATGATGTTACAGATGAGTAGTTCAGAAACTACTTTGGTATAGATAGCATAGTAAACATCAGATTCTGACTTCAGCACTTTGTTCATCAGAGTTGATAGCAACAGCTCATCTGATTGAACACGTCTTGTCTGGTGAAGCTTCATAATCTTTCTTCTTCAGAGTCTGGTCTTCAGAGTCTTTTGCACTTGGTCTTCAGAGCCTTCAGCCTTCAGAACTTCAAGTCATCAGAGTCTTCAGCACAAACTTCTTCAGATGATTATATCTTCAGAGTCTTGACCTTCAGAACATGTCTTCAGAATCTTCAGAGTCTTGACCTTCAGAACATGTCTTCAGAGTCTTCAGAGTTTTGTCCTTCAGAACATGTCTTCAGAGTCTTGACGCACTTGGTCTTCAGAGCCTTCAGCCTTCAGAACTTCAAGTCATCAGATTCTTCAGCACTTCAGTTCTTTAGAGGGCTCACTCTTCAGAGACACTCGTTAGCTTCCAGATCAGATGCACAACTCAGATCAGAATCCACAGATGCATTGCAACTGCAATATCCAGCATCCTTGATTCTTTATTGAACATGATCAGATGCAGAAACAAACTTGCTTCTTTACTGAGCTTCATTTGCTTTTAGATCAGATGCACTTCTTCAGATCATAAACCACAGGAGCATTGCAACTGCAATATACAGCATCCTTGGTTCCTTACTGATGGTGATCAGATACATAAGCAAACTAGCTTCTCCCAAGCGCTTCATGAAGTTACACATAGTAATTCCATATATTACTAGCTGCACACGTTGCTTTTGTTTGTTTGGTCTAATATATTTAATTTAATATGACCTGCACATAACAAACATTAAACCATAAAATGGTTCTTTCACAAATACTCAATTGTTATCATCAAAACATAGAGATAATCCTGTAGAGACAAATCTTGCTCTTACAGGTAGAGTATCTTGGGGCTAACCTAGGGGAGGCGAATGAGGATTTGGATAAGACCAGAAATGCTCATGCTAGATTTGAATACCTGAAGAAGATCCATAAGGCTGAGATTGTCAGAGCACAGCAGGTGGCGATCCATAAATCGCATGCATTGAGAGCATACCTGCTTTATTTGGTTGGCACTGTGATTTTTGTAGACAAGAGTACCACTTATACTAACATCGTCTACCTATAGTACTTCTTAGATTTTGAGCGGATCCATGAGTATAATTAGGGGCGTCTTGCTTGATCTACATGTATTCGAAGTTGAAAGAGGATTGTATGTGGAAGACGAAGCAGGTCACAGGCAGCGTGACACTACTGACTATAATAATTATGTCTCTGAATGTTTTTTGTCATTTTCATTTCATATTTTCAAAACCATTACTGATGATTTGTGTGTTCCAAACTTTTTATTTCAGGTTTGGCGAGTGTGCTTGAGTACCTTGGAGATTTGCCGTGTGTTACTGCTTTTATCCCACTCAGAGGGAATCAGGCGGTCGAGCCTTTTAGAGTCTATCTTGACTGTTTGGTTGTTGAGGACATGCACTTCAACAATTGTGTTGGTCACCGTCAGACGCGACCATTTGATAAGATAGTGTTATACTCTAGATGGTTGGCATGCGGATCACCTATCACTGCTCCTCATTTGCTCGAGCACATCATACGGTAGTTTGACTACACACAAACCATTCCTAGACACCCTGATGTCTCTTCTCCTTGCCTTGACACTTAGGCAGATAGAGGAAATGTTCGATGATTATGAGAGTCATCTGGTACCGAAGGAGACACAGGCTACCATAGTTGAGAGCGGCTGCAACTACATTGAAGGGTACATCAGATGGTTATTCAGGGTATAACATCAGTACATGGTGCATGCTGCTCCAGGAGATCCGCCGAAACCAACTTATTAGGAGATACTAGAGGAGGAGCAGGCACAGCTAGATCATACTATGATGTCGTGCCTAGGTGTCGTTGCATAGTGGAGATTGCGCAGACAATCACTGTGTCATGTATCTTCCTTGATGTGGCTGATGTTAGACGAGTCCTAGATGCCATCATGAGAGGTGCACATGAGACATTGTTGTACCAGAGACATCGTTGGAGGACAGTGGAGATCGATGGTCGAGGAGGTAGACAAGACAAAGAAGGTAGAGGAGAGGTTGTCAGACACACACAATAGTCTCTTATTACATAGTTGTAGTATTATAGTCTATACTTTATTTTGATAATCTTACTACTTTATTGATCTTGATTGTAAGACATTTTCCTGAATTTATTAGTATTTTTTTGTATGGTATTGTTGCCCATATGGTATTATGTACGTCTATTTTTTTCGATAGTGCGTTATACTTCATCTGAATATTCATGGAGATTCATTTTCAGTAAAATTTAAATGTAAATGACTTATGAGCGAAATTTATTGAATGTTTTAAATTGTTTTTGAGATAAATCTTCAAAAACTTTTAATAGTTATTCAAAACTAAATAGGTCCGAAAATAAATTTATAAAAATTATAGACATTTAAATAGAATAATAAAAAGTGACAGTGGCGCAATATTTTTATACCATTATGAATATTTTATCTGTTTTAAATAATTTTTGAGCTGTATCGAGTTTTATGCAACACAGAGACTGTTTTGCAACCAGATCTTTTTGTATTAAAACTTTAAAAACTGAAAATAAAAGGCCGAGAAACCACGTCACTACGTTCTGCTGGATAACCCTGTGTCGTGAAAATCCTGCAACCACAAGAGCGAGAGTGAAAAGAAAAAAAAAACGGTTGAGATGAAGTTTGTTTCTAGCAATTGAACTTCTAAGGTAACACGAAAATGGAGTCTCTTCCTCTCACCACTAAAACCCCATTCCTCACCGCCACTACTCTTCTTCCATGGCTTTCATCCTCCAATAGAACACCAACAAGAACTCTTTATCTAAACCAGAGAAAAACCAACAAGGTTTTTGCCTCATCAAGCTCACACGATGAACAGGATCATAAAAACCTTAAATTCAATTCTGAAGACCTCATGGATCTCAAATTCGGTCGTTTACTTGGCGAGGATCCTAAACTCACTCTTGCCAAGGTATTTTTCATATTATTATTGCATTTCAGTTTTGCAATTTTCTTCTATGTATATTTTGTATATTTATTTCGCTATCGTTATTATACTTGTTTTAGATTATGGGAAGAAAAATCAACCCTGATGCTTCTTATCTTGATATTGAGAAATCATTTTATAAAAGAAAAAAGGGTAAAGTTGTGGAAATTGAGGAACTTCCATTTGAAGTTGATAGACCTTGGGCAAAGACTTCACCTCCCAAACCACAACTTGAACCCAATGATGATGATGGTGATAAGAATGTTGCAATGGAGATTAAGAAACCTAGCTTGACGCCGAGGAAGTTGGGGACTGTTAGGAAAAGTAGTGCTCCTAAGGCTATTTTGAGAAAACCGTCGTTGTTTAAAAAGGAGGAGGATGAAGAGGAGAGTGTGTCTTCGAGGTTGATGTTGAAACCAAATTTGAGTTTGAGTGGACAAGTGAAGGAGAAGTTTAGTGACATGACTTTGTTGAGGAAGCCGGGGTTGTCGATTGGAGGGAATAGAGATGGTGGGTTGAAGACGCGGAAAGAAGAGCCGGGTTATGAAGTTGCTAACTTGACTTTGTTGGAACAACCGCATAGACCGGGTTCTAATAAAAAACTAGAGAAGTTTGTGAAGCCGGATGATGGAGTTGCTAACTTGACATTGTTGGAACAACCACATAGACCGGGTTGTAATAAAGAACTAGAGAAGTTTGTGAAGCCAGGTGATGGAGTTGCTAACTTGACGTTGTTGGAACAACCACACAGACCAAGTAGTAATAAAGAACTAGAGAAGTTTGCAGAGACGGGTGATGAAGTCGGTACATTGAGCTTGTTGGAACAACCACATAGACCAAGCGGCAAAAAAGAAGAAGAGAAGTTTGACGAGCCAAGTGATGAAGTCGCTGATTTGAGCTTGTTGGAACAGCCGCACAGACCAAGCGGCAAAAAAAAACAAGAGAAGTTTGAAGATTCAAGTGATGAAGTCGCTAAATTGAGTTTGATGGAACAGCCGCACAGACCAAGCGGCAAAAAAGAACAAGAGAAGTTTGACAAGCCAAGTGATGAAGTCACTAACTTGAACTTGTTGGAACAGCCGCACAGACCGAGCGGCAAAAAAGAACAATATATGTTTGAAGAGCCAAGTGATGAGATCGCTAAATTGAGCTTGTTGGAACAACCACACAAACCAAGTAGTAAAATAGAACGTGAGAAATTTGAAGATCCAACAGATGAAGTCGCCAAATTGAACTTGTTGGAACAGCCGCATAGACCAACTGCCCAAAAGGAACAAGAGCAGTCTGGAGCGCGAAGTGATGAAGCTAAGAAGGTGATCTTGTTGGACCAACCACATAGACCAAACGACAAAAAAGAACAAGAGAAGTTTGAAGAGCCAAGTGATGAAGTCGCTAAATTGAGCTTGTTGGAACAGCCACACAAACCTAGCAGCAAAATAGAACATGAGAATTTTGAAGATCCAAGTGATGAAGTTGCTAAATTGAACTTGTTGGAACAGCCGAACAGACCAAGCGGCAAAAAAGAACAAGAGCAATCTGGAGAGCCAAGTGATGAAGCCAAGAAGGTGATTTTGTTGGAACAACCACACAAACTAAGTGACAAAGATGAAAAGCAGTTTGGAGATGTGAGAGTGGTAGTCCCAAATGATTTACTCCCTCCGTCCCACAATGGGTGACCCATTTGGAATAAAAGAGTGTCCTAAAATGAATGACCCATTTCAATTTCCAATGCATCTTTTCCAATTTTACCATCTAATTAATATTACTTCCATCATTCCCAATACATGATAAGGGTATTCTAGTAAAAATATCATTCTCTTTCTTTCAATTGTTCATTTTTCTTAATGTGTGAAAAGTCAACCGAATCGCTCATTGTGGGACGGAGGGAGTAGGTGTTAATCTTTGTTGTGATTATGGAATTCAATAGTGTAAGGATAGTTTTTAAATGATTTCATGCTTCATTAATTAGGGATCGAAACAAGATGAGCAGAGACAACCAGAGGTTCATCAGGAGCCTATCAATTTAAATCAACCGTCTGATTTAAATTATGTTGGTTCTAAGACGGAATTGTCCGTCGAAGCTGCAATAGAAGGAAGTCCAAAAAGGTAAATGATAATCGTTCCAGAGTTGTATGTTTCAGATTATGGTTGCAAATATTATTCATTACTTAAATATAATTTTTGTTATAGATTAGATCAGTATGTGAAACAAACCTCAAAGCCTGTTGAAGAAAAAACCGCTTCCCTTGATCCTGGAAGTCGCGGAAACAGTGAAGAATCAGGCAATTTTGTTGATGTGTCAGATATTCAGGTCAGATTTATGAACTACCCTAGTTACTTGTCTATATGAAACATTAGTTGTGCATCTATTTCCCTAAATTCCATGTTTACCTTTGTGCTTTTTGATTTTGTAGGAAGGCGAAGATGCTGATTGGACCAAGGCAAAAAGTTTGATTAAGAATGGATATAGAGATGATGTGGAACTAATAAGCTGCAGCACCCAGGGTTTCGTTGTAAGTCTTGAAAAAGCAGTAAAGGCAACTTTCATTTATAAATAAAAAAACATTTTCCTAGTCTGTTCCATTTTTCTTCTGAATTGAATTAAACCATTTTACAGGTTTCTTTTGGTACCTTGGTAGGATTTCTGCCATACGGTAATCTTTTGTCCAAGTGGAAGTTCTTAGCTTTTGAATCATGGTTAAGGCAGAAGGGCTTGGATCCATCAATGTACAAGCAAAACTTGGTCAATGTGACACATAATGATGCTGAAATTAATAATTTGTCGTCCGATTCTCCTTCGCATATGGAGAATGATAGTAAACTTGAAGATAAAATTTCTCCAGATATGAAATTGGAAGATCTGTTAAGGATTTATGGTCAAGAGAAAATCAATTTCTTATCATCATTTGTTGGAAAGGTTTGGTATTAAAAACATAAGTACACTACCCAAATAGATTTATCTTTTTTTTACCGCAAAAGGTGAAACTTTAATATTATCACTCTTAATATTTAGATGCCACTACTTTGTTTTGCAGAAAACCAAAGCATATGTGTTGTTGGCAGACAGAAAATTGAAAAAACTCATATTTTCACTCAAACCAAAAGAGAAGGAAGCACTAACTGAGAAAAGGAGAGAACTTGTGGTAAATGCTTTATTGACATAACTATTCTTGAGTTAGCCTAGAGCAAGTGTTTTATATTGAATGCAATAAAGTGGTCTTCAGATTCGTTGTGTTTACTATGACAGGCTAGACTTCAAGTTGGTGATATAGTGAAATGTCGCATCCAGAAGATAACTTACTTTGGAGTTTTTGTTGAGGTATATAATACATTTGGTTTCAGTATTCTGCTGCTCACTTTTACAAGCACATTTTAGATTTACATTGATTAAGCAAGTAGGATTGTCTTGTTGAGCAGAGTAGTCAATAGTGGCAAAAGCAGCACTATCCTGCTATTGCAGAGCGGAGGCCGGCCGCTATGGGAAGAGCCTTAGCGGTGCAAAACACTATAGCGGCCGCTATAGGTTAAATAGCGGGTAGTGGGGGCGGAGCGGTTCCTAGCCCGGAACGGTTTTTGTCCCACTATCCTTTTCCCCTCTAAAAAACCAAAATTACCCCTAAAATTTAAAATGTTTTACTGGTAATTTTGGATTTTTCAATCAAATTTGAGTTGAGACTCAACCCTAACCTTCCTTCACCGACGTTTTTGCACTTCAGCCATTCCAAAGAAAAATCAGAAGTTCCTCCCTCACCTCTCTCTGCACTCCGTTCTTCCCTCTGCACTTCATATGTTTATAATTATTATTCATGTAATTTATCCCAAATAATGATCAAATAGCGGCCACCTGCTATACGCTATTCCATTTGTGGGGTCGGCCGCTCTGCTCCCTATTCTGTATTGACTAGTGTGGTTTAGAGAAGAGACAGAAAATTTTAAATATCTACCTGTTATTAATATAGGTTGAAGGAGTTTCTGCACTAATTCATCAGTCAGAAATATCTTGGGATGCCACGCTGGACCCATCTAAATATTTTAAGATTGATCAGGTATTTTCCTTCTTGACGGGGTAAAAAATTAAAGTCTGCATGTTTAAACTTCAAAATATGTTATTCTACAATACAATTACTTTAAGATCTTTTATATTTATTGTCGAGAAGTAAATATGTTTTCTTTTTTGCTTTATGAGAAAAGCATTGAAACAATTTTTTCTTTTTTGGTTTTTTGCTTTTAACCAAATTACATAGTTGTCTATAAACGTGTCTTATTAAAAACGCATAAGGTCATGGTTATCAAATTGAGATTCATTTTGTGAATCATAAGAATTGTTTCTGAACTGTGAATCAAATCTTATTATGAATCGTATGATACACTGCTCATGAAAATATTATCGTAAAAACAAGTAACACAGCTAAATTGTAAGCTAATACTCCCTCGAGTCTTAAATATAAGCAAAGAGATACATGTATCTCATCCAATTTAGACCAAATACATGTATAGTTTTTCTTATATTTAAGAAACGAGGGAGTATATCATATTCAAACCTCAATAAAATAAGATTCGAGTAATAAATCAAATGAAAAAAGAAATGTGGGTGTGTTATACAAAGTTGACAAAATAAGTGGCTGACTACACTAAGTTTAGGTAGTGAATCAAGATTCATTATAGTGATTCAGGATTTAATATAATGAATCAGGATTCAATGAGATTCGTGTCCAAAATAGATACACACTATGATTTTTATCGATTTGGTTCAACTTTGAATCCAACCGACATACGATACACGCTAAGAAAGATAATATTGAGATATTATAAGATACATGAATATCTTCTAGCAATTTACCTAGTTATAGTTCTTGTGTATTTATCTTTATGACTACTTTTTTCTGGCACAGGTTGTAGAGGCAAAAGTTCACCAAATAAACCCCACTCTTGGGCGCATATTTTTATCATTAAGGGAGGTCACGGTAATTATCTATATAGTTATTTTCTTTGAAGTGCTTCCCTTGTTTTGAAAAGTCTAAGTAAACTAAGCAACATTTGACTCCTAATTCAACAATTCATTGTCTGCATATTACAGCCTGATCCAATGTTGGAATCCTTAGAGTTTGTAGTTGGGGATCATGAATCCTTTGATGGAAGATTGGAAGTGGCTCAAACTGATGCAGAGGTAATCTTGACATGAAAATAGAAGTGATCTGAAATTTTTTTTAAATTAATCAAAGGATGCATATTGTATTGATTAAATAATTGTGTTGTTGTTGGATCTTATTGTCTCAGTAGTTTAGCAACCAACAAAAGGCTTATGGGAATTTAATTTTGAGGCATTGACATTCTGAGTCAATCAATCAAACATTTTGTACTTCTCTGTTTAATTTCAGACTGTGCAAGTTTTCAGAATCTTGACCGAGTCAATGCAATCTATGTCCATTAGATTTATTTTCTGCTTGATGATAAATTCAAGGGTAAAGTAAGTAAAAGGTTCTGATGTGATGTTCCAAATATTTTTAAGCCTGTGTTTGGTAACGTGGTGAGCCACCGCTGCCGCGTGTTTAAAGTTTTTTCTACCGTGATTTTGAGAAGCTAGTAAGTGTAGCTTCTTGCTCGCTGTGATTTTCCACCGTGATTTCTTTCATCACCAAACATTGGCTAAGAAAAAGATCAGTTCAGTGTCTGTGTAGGGTCATAACTTTTAGTGCAAGATGAAAAGATAATCTTGAAATAATAGCGGTTTTCTGGATTTTTTCAACTATTCAAGTTCCAACTTTTGGCCTTTGGGTTATGCCAGCATTCCATGTATAATATTTTCATTTTGATCATCATGTTTAGATGCTGTCTGTGATGTAGCAGAGAAATAATTATTCTTGCCCTACAATGAATCATTGATAAGTATGCAACACTTATTTTGTTGTCTCGTTAATTCGTGGTTCGGAACAAATATATTATATTATGCTTATTTTTGGACAGTGGTCTGAAGTCGAATTTCTTATGAAAGAATTGCTAAAAATTGAGGGAGTCCAGTCTGTTTCAAAAGGCCGTTTTTTCAGGAGCCCTGGTTTAGCTCCTACATTTCAGGTATGGATACGTATATTCAAACCTCTGCATAATACAATGAATCATACTTGTTTTTGTTCGTCGTATGTTTCCGGAATCATTTTAATATTTACCGGCAAACTCAGTCTCTTGATTTATCTAATCGCAAACCAAATTTTGTTCCAGGTTTATATGGCATCCGTCTTTGAAGATCAGTACAAGTTGCTTGTCCGATCAGGAAACAAAACACAAGAGGTAATGTTATAAAAACTGTTTTAACTTTTATGACCTTGTTAAACAGATTTTGTTGTGTCATTCAAGAATGTCTTGACTTACACTTATATTCCTTTTTCCTTCTATTGCTGAAGATGATTTCTTGAATTGTATACACTTCATGATATTGCTTTTTGACGTAACTCGTGCATAGTATAATTCAACCCTAATCAGTAATCATCTTTTGAGCAGGTGATGGTTCAAACTGTTTTAGATAAAGAAATGATGAAGGCAGCTATTATAACATGTGCAAGTAAAGTAGAATAGTTATGGCCTATGGCTCTAAACATGTCATTGTCAGATTTTTGGTGATCATACATTCTTTTGGGGAGTCCTGGCTGCAACCATAGGAGCATTTCAAGGTAATTCGCATCAGTGGTTTGTGGCAAAAAAGGCTTAAAACTGCACTCCCAGAGTAAAATGATGGCATATATTTCTGTTCTATTTTTTTGTACTGCGACCAATTGAGAAATTATTAAATCTTCGCGGTCGAGTATATTTGCGTATTTGCGCAGATATATATGTAATACTTGGACAACTTCTGCATGTAGTATATCTCTTTGATAATTTGCATATATCAAATTCAGGCTGGCATTGTGTAGAGTTTAGGCTTGGATAAGTTGACTGTTGCTTTAACTATGTTTGCTGTGTTCCTAACAAAATTTCATCTAGCAACTGTGTTGCTGATCATTTTCATAAGATTGAGTGAGGAAGATAAAGGAGTGATGTTGAGAATTAAGAGAAAGAATAAAAACCTTGCATTATTGGGATATGATGAGAATGATTGGCTATTTTCTATTAGTAGCAAATCTTAAAAATAAGAGGATCGATCTCACAAAAATTGTATTAATTTAAATTAATTTTAAATCTAAAAAATTGTAAAAAAAAACATGAGTAAATTTAATAATAATAAATGGTTGTCACTTGATCAGGAAACTAAGACATTACAACTAACTGACTAAGTAAAAGTTTTTAAACGAGTGCATTCCTCCAACGTCTAAATATATGCATCAATTTCCTATGAAGCAAATTTTTAAGCCTTACAATAGCAACCGTGCATCTCTTTGATAAGTTATGCTTTCTCATATGACTCTAACTCTTTATCTCTAAGAGCAACTTTAACGCAGAGTTGTTAAACTAAAATTCTTTATAGCTTACCTTAGTAATAAGGAATTTGCATTATAGGAGAGCTGACATGACATCCAAATGAATTAAAATTTAGTTCCCATCATCTATATAGTTAACGTTAACTATGTAAAACCTGTTATAATATTATTTAATATTAATAAAATATTCCAAATATTCCAACAACATTAAAGTAAGGATATGATATTTGAAAATAGTAACGGTTATATTATCATTTTTTACCTTCTATAAATTCTATAGAAATTTTAATTTTCTTACACATAGTTTTACTTCTAAATTTTTTTCTTTCAATTTCCAATTTTATTTATTTATCAAATGGATCACAACCAATCAAATCCTTATTATAATTATATTCCTATGAAAATGTAATTTTTTTTATGTATTATTGTTGTGAATTTTGTATTATTTTTAATTTTATAATAAAATATATTTAATATTATTTTTAAGTTTTTAAGGTAAATTTTATTTAAAAAATTATATGTATTTTAATTAAAATAATTAAATTAATGGTAACTTGAATAAAAAATATAAAATGTGGAGTCAAGTTTTGATTTCTTATAGACAACTACCATTAAAGTAAAAACTATTCAAATCAACTATAAATTTTTTAAATCCTACAAATCACTTTGGTCCCACAAAAAGTATCTTAGTTTACTCATTCAGTTTACTCTCAATAAAGATGCTCTAAAGAAACTAAAGTGACAAAATATCCCTAATTATTTTCTTATTCATATTTGTTATGATTACCACTTCTTCAACATTAATAAACCGTTATCTATTTTTAAGATGATTAGTCCAAGAGATAAATATATAGCACTAAAGTATATGACAAAATAAGTCACTAACTCCATACATAACACATAAAAGATTGGTTTTTTTACTAAATTTCACATTGACAAACACAGAAGGTTTAGCTCATGGTGGTGAGGAAAGTAAATACAACAAAATAGATTCATAAGTTCAACATTTCTAAAGAAAGAAAATATTAAATTTAAGATTGACACTTCAACTACTTGCAGCATTAAGTCAACAAGAGGTGTCTTATGTCACGTCTGAAATTTCCTTCTCTATTTGTTATTAACTTTTTCTCTCTAAATTTTTGAAATTTATTTCTTCCCAACGCAGGTCTTTTTAAAGACACTCCTCGACTTTAGTATTGTCTCCAAATTTGGGTCTTTGACTTATTAATTACCAACGGTTTCAGCCTAAATAATATGAAAAATTCACTTGCCTGTTAGTACTAGTACTAGGGTAGCACACAACACATGAGAAAAACAACAAGCTTTAGAGTAGGTATACACTATTCGTCGGTATAAAAGAGAACTTTAGAACTTTGTCTTTTAACTTTTATCCTTATCCTATTAACTTTACAACTCATCCATAATAATTTTTCTCTCAAATCTACCACATCATCTATAACGTTGTCATTCAAACCTCTACTAACATATTGTGGCTCTAAGCCTACTGAGCATTGGTCTTAGATCTCTGACCTAAACGAACTTATCATTAAGGTTACTCTTGCACATCAATAAACATATAAAAACTATAAAAAATAGCACATATTGTCCTCGTCAAAATTTTCACTCAAATAACTACATTATACCCCCTTAATATCCAATTTACCCCACTTTCTCTTTTATTTCCTAATCTACCCATATTTCTGACTATTTTTTTTTAATACAAGGGAGCGCCATTGGGGCTGGCTCCTCCCTTATAATTTGTAGGGGGGCGTCATCCAGTATGGAGGCACCCTATAAATTATAAAGGGGGCGTCATACCCTTTGGCTCCTCCCTTAAATGACTTAAAAGGGGGCGTCATCCCCTATGGAGCTCCCTTTAACGAAATTTATTTTTTAAATACACTATAATTAAAATAATTAAAAAATAATATTATTTTATTCCAAAAATTTTTTTATAAATAGTTGGACTTGTTGTTAACATTGTTTCATCCAAATTTAGAAGAGTGAGTCATGTACCTTAGAAGATATGGGCATGTAATTTTTTCGAGGACGAAGCCTCCGACTTAGAAAAGTTGATATAAATATTAAATTCCAGTGTTACACAATTTTTAATGACCAAATTAAATCTACCTAAAACTTGTTCCAACATTTGGACAGTTTTTCCTCGTATGTCAGGGAAGACGACAGATTCCGCACAATCTTTCCATTTTCTCAGTTGTATCCATTTCAGTTGTAATTCGCGTGCTTTTGGGGCGGCCCTTTTTATTTCTTCTCATATTTTCGTTGTGGTAGATTGTGTCTCCATGATAGGTTGGCCAATAGTCCTCACTAGCTACCACTGGAAAACTGTTACTGTAGATACCGAGTAAGTTCACGACCTTGTAAACTTCTGATAGCTGCAAGAATGGATCCTGACGAGCAGTTGAACATACGGTAATGACATGTGAACAAGGCATGCGGAAGGTTTGAAACTTTCCGCAGTCACACCAATTTTTATGAAGTTCCACCCTGTAGTGTCCCATTGGCCGACCCTTGTTGTGATCCATTGTCTCATCAACAATGAAGCTCTAATCGTGACGATCAAATGGTCTAACTCGATGTGAGGCCGCCTTAGAAGTTTCATCCCTCATATACTTCATGCTTGATTCGTTGAATATTTGTCCTGATTGCAGTACAACGCTCTATTTTTTGCCTCTTGCCGCAAAAAGTGACCCCAATCTGTAATATGTTGCCCTTACCAACGTAGTGATGGGGAGGTTCCTAGTTCCCTTAAATACGCCGTTTAGGGATTCTACAAGATTTGTGGTCATGTGACCCCATCTGCACCCTCCATCAAATGACCTTGTCCATTTCTCGACTGGAATGTTATCCACCCACCTTAATGCTTCCGCGCTTGACAACCTTATTTCTTCTCGGTAATACATGAATGATGGTTGGTTTAAGGCATACCCAGCGTTCACAACTTTTTTACGGAGATTTCTGTCTTTAATTTCCCGCATAAAATTCTGAGCAATGTGTCTTATGCAAAAGACATGGACAGAAGGAGGATTGTGCCAACCATTAGCAAGATTGTTGTAGGCGCTCACAATAGAAGCATGTCTGTCAGAAATCAGACATAAGTTGGGTTGAGGTGCGACATGTGTTCTGAGATTTCTAAGGAAGAAACTCCAAGTTTCGCATGTCTCACCCTCGACCAGGGCAAAGGCAATCAGAAATATATTATTATTTCCGTCTTGTGCAATCGCCATCAACAATGTTCCTTTGTATTTTCCATACAACCATGTTCCATCGACTTGTATAACTGGTTTGCAGAACGCAAAACCTTTGATACATGGTTGAAATGCCCAAAAGAGACGAGAAAATATCCTACTTCCATCAACACATGTTCCTTCAGGAGTGTATGCTGGTAGTGACTCCAATATTACAACCTATCAGGAACATATTTTTGAAGTGTTAGTAGATACTGTGGAAGTTGATGGTAAGAATGCTCCCAATTCCCATATACATGTTCCACCGCTTTTATTCTACCTATCCAAGCTTTCCTGTACGATGGGGTATAGTTGAACCGTGCAACCACATGAGAGATAATTGTGCTCATCTTCACAGATGGATCAACGCCCACAAGATGCAAAATCTCTTGTGATATCAATTCAGAGCTTAGTTTTCCATGATCTTGCCGATTGATGTTGGTTGTGCAAGTATGAGGTGGATCCATCGAACCAATCACCCAACAATCACTTCTTTTTTGATAGGACGCTGCTAATCGAAACTTACAACCTTCGTTACGACAAACTACGACGTATCGTTTTGAGTCGTTCCGATTGATGTAAAAATCAACAAAGTTATCCATATGAAACTTTCTTATGGCTTTCATGCACTTATCTTTTGTGTTGTACTGGTTTCCGACTTTCAAGACACCTTCAATTTGTTGAGAAGAATTGTAGAAATAATCTGAGGAAGTATCGTCTCCACTGAATTGTAATTTCGTCATGTGTTGGGGAGGACAATACACTTGATTTAATGGTAGGGCCTCTTCATCTATGTCTTGCAGGGGAGTCATTGCAATGTAGTCCCCAGTCCTGAACAAATTAACCATTTGATCAACTATGGCCTCTGGATCTTCTTCCTCCTCGTTCACAACATCAATTTCATCTATATCCG